TCTCTCTCTCTCTCTCTCTCTCTCACACACACACACACACACACACACACACACACAGATCCAGGAAATCAGCAAGCATGGAAGAGTTCAGACACAAAGTCTGTAGGCTTTATCTTTATTCTGTAAATATTTGTTGGTGCATTTGAAAAATAAATGAGACATTTAATTACCCGAATGACTATATCAAAGGCTTTATAATAAGCTATCAAAACATGAAAGGCAAAATATACATGAATTGTGTGAAACTATTCAGAACATAATAAAACAAAAGCTAAAAATTAGATAAGATTGGTTGGTTGGATAAATAGATAAATGAATGGAGGGAAAGAAAGAAATATATATTTAAATATATTAAATATATTAAATATTTTAAATATATTTGTAAAATATAACGGTGTGATCGATCAGAATTTCTTTCTTTCTTTCTTTCTTTCTTTCTTTCTTTCTTTCTTTCTTTCTTTCTTTCTTTCCTGAGAGAGAGGAGGAGAGGGGGTAGGGGCAGAGAGAAAGGGAGAGAGAAAATCTTAAGCAGGCTCCATGCCCAGCATGGAGCCAGACACAGGGCTCCATCTTACAACTCTGAGGTCATGACCTGAGCCAAAATCAAGAGTGGGATGCTTAACTGACTGAGCCACCCAGGTGCTCCTGTAATCATTCAGAATTTCTTAACTGCATCTTTGCTTTTGTCTTTGTCCTTTCTTCCAAGCATGATATGGGTATGAGAGACTTGAGGAGGTGGTACAAGAGCATCAAGTTGCCTTAAGTGAATTAGCTTTAAATTTTTATTATGAAAAGTTTCAAATATATATAGATGTATAGAAAATAATATTCATCTCTACCCTTAATTATTTACCCCTAGCCCCCTCTGTATTTTTATGAAGGAAATCTAATATACTATTTAAATGAGTTGAATCTACATGTTTTAAAGAGTTATATCCCAGTGATCTAATAGCAAAGGAAAAAAATACCATCCATTTTTTTTCAGAAATAATGAAGAGGGCATTACCAAAAAAAAGACAAAAATAGGAAAATGCTATTCTCACATTTTCTGCTATACCCGTTTTTTTTTTTATTATTATTATTATTAAAAAGGAAGAATGGGAGATCCCTTGGTGGCTCAGTGGTTTGGCGCCACCTTCGGCCCAGGGTGTGATCCTGGAGACCCAGGATCAAGTCCCACTTTGGGCTCCCTGCATGGAGCCTGCTTCTCCCTCTGCCTGTGTCTCTGCCTCTCTCTCTCTTTCTCTCTCTCATGAATAAATAAATAAAATCTTTTAAAAAAAGGAAGAGTATAGGTTCTTGAGAGTCTAGTGTATGAACTTGTAGGTTTTTGATAAGATGGATTATTTTTTTTAATATCATGGAATGAATATAGTGCTAATCCTAGATATCTCAACATGCTAAGAACTAGGATTACTCTATTAACTTCTTTATTCCTGTATTCAAATTCTATCTTTTTTATGAAGGAATTAGTCTGCTCATTTCCCTTTTTAATAAGCCTACTACACCCCTAGCTCTTATAGCATAAGAATGAACCTTAATTTCAGCAAAATACCAACAAAGCTAAGTTTCATTGCTCACCACATCCCATTTGATATTCAGGGCTTACATCCTCAGCCAGGAAGAACTTATACAAATAGGAAACATAAGAGACCCTCTGACCCCTCCTGACTCTTGAACAAAACAGATCAGTTAGATCTGTAGGTGATAGAGCAGGGAAATTGGTCATTGCACTCCTGTCCCTAAGCTTCATCTCTGTACACCCTCTTGACTATGCAGGGGGAGATGCACCTTTGCCAGATTGCCCCTAGGACCTCTATGAAAAGGAAGTGTGGAGGAGTTAAGGTTTCTGTCCTCACAAAATACAGTCTTGCTGGAACTAAGACATTGAATTATGTGCAGCATCAAAGCCCTTTTATACCCGGGGCTTATCATTATTCTTCAGGAATCTAAACAAATACTCTATGTCCCTAATCTCTTCTTTTAAAGGGTTATTTACAGATATTGGGACTCTCTTGATTGTTGAGCCAAGCTCAGCATCAATAAGAGTACATCCTCATCCAGGGGAAAAGGCAGATTTAGCGTTTAGGCATTTCTGACTCACTCTCTGTCTCTGGTTATTGAACACCCTAGAGAGTTCATTTTCACATGAGCTTCTTGGATCTACAGAGGACACAAAACTGGGAAGTCCCTTTGAAATGCTAGTGGCAAAATCAAAACTTTTAGAATGGTTACAAGCATGAGCTAAAAATTAAAAGAAACTAACCAGATAAATATGAAGTCCTACCTTTAGCCTCCAGATAAGCATCAGACCAGGAAAGATATGATCAGATATAGGTACATATGCTTTTATAAAACCCGCTTGTTAATGAAAAAGGTCAGACAAATGAGCCATTTATTTTTTTTAAGTTGCATTAGTAAGTGTCCTTATCAAAGTTGGTAATAATTGCTTTCCATATATTCTATACAGGCGAGGCAATAGCTGTGGCACTTGGGTTAATTTTATATCTCATTTCAAGGAGATATGAGCCAGCCATAGAACAAGAGGACTAGAATGGATGAAGGTCTCAAAGACATGTCTGTCATAATGAGAAAAATAATAGCAGTATGCATGTACTGAAGCCCTATTGTGTGCTTCACTCTGTGGTAGACATTGTACTTGAAATGGCTGCAAAAAAAAAAAAAAAATGGCTGCAAAATTGAACCTCTCCAAACTAAAAGGTCAAAAGTTATGATCCCAGCTAAACTTTAAACTCCATGATGACAGGGGCTTTTGTACATAATTTTCAGATGGTAATGAAGATCCTAATCATAATCATGATAGCTGCTTACCAACGTGTGAAAAATAAATTATCAAGTGGCAAGGAGAAAAGATTATGTGTCTCCAGAAAGGAAATTACATCAAATGGATTGAACTTATTGGGATTCAAATTAAAGCTCAAATATAAAAAAAGAAGTTTCTATCACTTATTGTTGCTCAGAAATGTTATAAGAAACCTTGTAAGGAGTCCCACCTGCTATCAAGTGCTCATTATGTACAGCTTCAGAGGTAACCAGCTGGTAAAGCTGGTATTGTTATTCCCATCCACATGAAGAAATCAGATACCAAGTACAAACTTGTCAAAGTTCACACAACTAGGAAATGAAAGATTAAGGCTTACTGACCTTAAATCTCATTTATTTTCACTAAGTTATATATTCCTGTCATTGGAAACGATCTTATATGGCCATTGTCTGCATGTCCATCTCTCAAGAGCATGTTTAAGAGATTTCCTGTGTGGGGTGAGGGTAAGTCCTACCTATCTCCTTGTTCCCTCAAGCACTCAGCATAAAGCACTCAGCAAACTGAGCCTGTTTGTCAAGTAATAAACTCATAAGAATGAATGTTTAATGATCTGCCTCATAAAACTATAAAGTAATAGGAATATTGATATCCTTTTTAAATGAATCTAAAGAGATCAGTTTGAATTGAGGGAATGCTAAATGCTCTCAGTGCAGGACACTTGCTAATTCATCCTGAGTTTCATTAGGAAAGCACTTAATTGGCCTCCTGATATAATTATTTCTAGGCCAGTTCATTTACTTGCTACCCTAACTATTCTATTTTGAGGCATTTATGTAGCATTCTTACTGGTAAAGTTCAATATATGTCAAAATATAGCTCTGTGCCTTTATATCTGTTATGAACCATAAACATGGACTTAAGGAGAGCCAAATATTTAGAAGCAGAGAAGAACAGACATTTGTTGAAAGACACAGTCTAGAGATCAGCTCATTCAGAAAAGGGTAGGAGGTACTCTGGTGTGGATGTACTAAGAAGCCCATCTGCAGGGCATTGTGAGACCAGCCTGAGCCCAGCAGAGGTTCTGGATAGAGAGTAATAGGAAGTATTACTGGGTAGGTAGCATGAAAAGAACACACAGAGGGGCTTGGATTGGGAGAACATTTAGACTTGGTGAGCAGCAGAAATCATGCTGGATTCTTGAGGAGAAGTGTAGAATGAGGAAAATAGTTCGAGAATATGGGGAACATGATCCTCTATGTAGAGAGGAACTGGAAGCCACAGTATAAGAAAGAGTAGTGGTTGTTTTTAGAAAGGAGTCTCCTCTGAGGTTGACAGGAAGGTTTGCAGGGTGGACACTAGCAATACTAAAGAATACACAGCACGAACTATGTGCCAGGCAGGGTTCTCTGTGCTTAAGTGTAGTCATACATTTGCCTTGTAATTCTGTAAAATAAGTAGTAGTAGTAGTATAATCATCCCCAACTTCCAAATGAGAAACTGAGGTTTCTAAATGCAGTTGACCTGGGCACCTGGGTGGCTCAGTCCGTTAACTGCCTTTGGCTTAGGTCATGATCTTGGGGTCTTACATCTACTCCCTCCCCATATCTCCAGACCACCCTACACACTGTGCCCAGTGGGGAGCCTGCTTCTTCTTCTCCCTCTGCCCCTCCCCCCGCTCCTGTTCGCACTCCATCTCTCTCTCTCTCTCTCTCTCTCTCTCTCTCTCTCTCTCTCTCAAATTAATAATCTTATAAATTAAAAAAATAAATAAAAGTAGTCGACCTAAAGTCACACAGAAAAGATGCTCCACATTCAGCAAGTGCTCACCTTACAGCCATATTCTGATGACCAGTCACAGTGTATTTAAAATGGTTCTGATAATACTGTTATCATCTTACTGTTTAAAGTCACAGCTTGAGCAGATTGTTCTCAGAAGTGGCAGACACCACAGGGCTGAGGTCATGTTCCTTGGCCCACGATCGGCCTACGAACATGGTCGACAACCAACGTGTTAGATACGTGTGCTCTCTTCCCCTAGATCCTGAGGGATACAAGGCAGACTTTTTCAAGTCTTAAAGTTCTATTTGTTTCTAATAAAAATAAAAATCAAATTAAGTGAATGGGTTATAATATCTATAGTTGTTTTCTTTATAAATATTATAAATCCCTTTCCACACACATGGCATACCATATGTGTATGTTTCTCCCCCCACAGGGGCTCAAGATCTGGATCGTATCCGACTCTCCACCTACAGAACAGCATGCAAGCTTAGGTTTGTTCAGAAGAAATGCAACTGTAAGTATGCCAGTTGTTTGGACTAATTACCCTCATGAATCCTATAGTTTACGTTTGTTACTTTGTTTATTAAAACTGGTGTTCTTGTAAGTGTTGATAAAACTATGTTTACACAACAATAAAAAGAGTATGGTGATGCACAAATGGTAGAGAGACTATTCGTAAGTAATTCAGAAGGTTTCATTGCTCTTAGCTGCTGAAGTATTGAAATGGATGAGCTTCTGGCTGTTTATGAAGTCCTGTCCTTGGGATGGTTTAAATCTGGATGGATATTTTTCTTCTATTCTCTAGCTTTGGTATTGTCCATGTAGTCGCCCTCTTTAGCTCCTGTGGAACTGTTTTGTACCTACTTCTTTACTAGTCTACCCTAGTGCCATCCACCAGCTTTACTCTCTGAGACACACACACACACACACACACACACAATTTTAACTTGGTTTTTCTTTTTTCTTTGTAAATAATGTACATACTATCGATTTTTTATTAAAAGAATTATGCTTTGATGTGCTAGCATAACTGCTCTAGCTTCTTGTCTATAGTTCTATGTGGCTTCAGATTTAGTACCTATGAACAGATGTACAAGACATTTATTACACTTTTTACCAAAGGGACTTACTGTTGTAGTATTTTTATGTAAAACTTGTCTTCCCCCTTGCCCCAACTTTTTTCTTTCTTTCATTTTCTTTCTTTCTTTCTTTCCTTTCTTTTCTTTTCTTTCTTTCTTTTTTCTTTTCTTTTTTTTGTAAATAAATCTTGTTTTTTACTTAAGGAAAAAATATGGTTTCCATGAATTTTATAAAACATTAAATATTAAGTCCTCTTTATATTTGTGATTCCTTTACAAGTATAGGAAAATGTTAACAAGCTCCAGGAAAGCACAGAAGTTTCGTTCTGAAGCTATAAAATTAGCCCTTTGTATCAGAGTATTAACTACATTTGCCTATATCAGACCACAGCAAGAAAAGAAACAATAATACTTGAAGAAACAAAGGGACTTGTTTCAACTTTTTCCCAAATTTTAGAATGTTAGCAGCTACTAGATCACTAATCACAGCGAGCCGTTTGCATCGTCTGCTGAATTGCTTCTCTCTTCATATCTCCACATCCATTTTCTTTTTTTTTTTTTCCACATCCATTTTCTGGAGAAATTTCCTCATAGTTCATGTATATGAACTTATTACTCTTTTCTTTTTGAGCACTGATTCCTGTAAAAATTAATAACTGTTCTCATTTTCTAATTAGTATTGGATGGATTAGAAAATATGAAAACCATAATGTTCTCCTGAGTACATACACATAGTTTTTGAATAAGTGGCATAGGGCTTAGACACAGTGAATGTAGAAACCAGCCATTTCCACACCTCTACCCTCCTGGAATCTCCAGCAAATGTTTCTTAGGGTGCTGGGCAGGCCAGCCCCAGACTCCCCAAATCATGACTATGGGGATGGGCAGGCTGTGTGTATCTAGTCGTCAAGTTGCTCATCTACAGCTTATTCCTCAGCTTTGGTGGCTAGAAATGAGGCTCAAGTTTGGGGCAGGTTGAGAAGGGAGTAAAAAGTTTCACCAGGTATCAAAGACTCCTTATGGGATGCTAAACCCATAAAAAAAAAAAAAAAAGATGGGGAGGTAATGCAAAGAGCACTAAAGACATGGGAAGAAATTTGTGGATGTACTTACAGCCCTGGGCATTGAGGCATCTATAAAAGGTCTTTGGAGGGCTGTGGTTAAAGGACAAGGAAGAGGCTCCCAACGAAGGAAGGCTTTCCCCCACCATGCCCCTCAATTCCAACTACCTGTATTTAAACAAAAGAAAAAAATCTCCTTGTTTCCAACAATGAAAAAGTGATAGGATCCTCCTACTTTCTTTCCTCATCACCACTCAATGGGCCTTGGAATGGAAGGGAGGGGAGAAGGAGCACAGATGTGAGCTCTGACCCCATGGAGCTTTGCCAAGCAGAGCTTCCTCGTATCCTTCCAGCTGAGATAGGGAATTGCAAAAAAAAAAAAAAAAAGAAGTGTTACAAACTGATAGGGTTGAACTAAAGAGCAAACAAACAATAAAGAAAAGGAAAGATGGGAAGGAGGGAGAGAGGGAAGAAAAGAAGAGTGAATGATTTGGCAACCACCCCTGCAGCCAACATTACAAAGGCCCTAACTAGCTAGATCCAGCAACCCTAGGGCCACAGGGCATTCTCCTACTCACAGTAATGGCCCTTTCTCATTATTGGGCATCTCCTTTTCTCTTCCTGTTCTTTTCTGCTCCTCATCCTTATCCTACATCCAGAATCATGTCATAGTCACACTGACCTCCTTGGAAAGCAGTGGGGAAAACAGTGCTAGTCCATCCCTGGGAGAAAATAGAACTTTCATACTTGTCTAATTGGCCTCAGTGCATCCATTCACTCACCTTTTAATTTAGAAAGCTTATAATGAGCTCCTACTGTGTGTTTGGCACTGTGTTTAAGTGCCTGGGATAGAGCAATGTGAACAAGATAAGATTTCTGCCTTAAAGTTGCCCAAAGTCTAACTGGCTTAGACTAGATACAATTTTAAACAGACTCATAACACAGTGTGGAAGAGTAATGGTAGGAATATGTGCATGGTGTTGTGGGAGCATGAGGCAGTCCCCTACCTGGGCGTGAGGGCCAGTAAGAGGAGTTTCCTAGAGAGGAAGACATCTAGCCTGATTCTTAGGGAATTAGGGGACATTACACCAGAAGAATACCCTACAATCATCTATTTTAGGATGAGGAAAATCGCTTCTCAGCCTTTTTGGCTAAGTTCATGTGGAAGATGAGGAAAATATTACATTCTCTACAAACTATGTGAAAGTAAGCCTTAAGGAAGAGAAGTGAGCAAGTTTTGAATGCTCTGCTAAAATTAAGTTGCTTTTTAAAATTGTTTCTACCTTGAGCAGAAGCGTTAAATCCAAGTATGGTTATGTGTTTGCTGAGTGTTCCTTCCTGACAACAAATATAACAGTGGTGATGTTAAGGAGCTTGCAAAATGCTAACACAGCTGAATCTATTCTATCTTAAAAATTAGAGCCTTCTTTTTTTTTTCTTTTAAGATAACCAGGACACTTGTGTTTATGTGACATAGTATTAGTCAACATTGAATGTATACCCCTATATTCGAGGAAGGACATTTTTGTCTGCAATAAAACCTAATCCACCATAAATTGTGATACCTTATAATGGAGTTTTACTCCACAATAAAGAAATAAGAAAAAAAATCCACATAGTGTATTTGCAAGCACATTGCTTTATTGGAAATTCTTACAGAACGTTTACTTTATAGAAATCGATGGGCCTTAATGGAGAACAGGTTATTTTTAGGTCCAGATCTTATTTACAGGTAAAACTAATTTTGTGTATTAACAAAACTAAGCTTAAAAACTACAGAGTGGGGGGTGGAGTGGGGCATAAAAACTGACACTTGTAAAGTCATCACCTTTGTTATCTAGATATAGCATGGAGTATATAGACTTTTAAAAGATTAGGTTTTTATCTGAATTCAGACACCATGAGTGTTATTTAATTCCCTGTATTTCTGTCCCCACAGCTCTTGCCTACTCTCCTTACAGTTTTCCATATAGAGAACTGATTCCTATCACCAACACTCATGTTCATTCCTTCCAATGCAATTTCTGATGGATACTGAGAATATATTCCCAGGGTCTAAAAAGACTACATAGAAGAGGCTAGAAAACTGAGGCCTGTGCACAAAATACAGCCCAGGACCTACTTTTGTATAGACTGTGAAATGAGAGCTTTTATAGATGAGTATTTGTAATGATTTTAAAATAGGAAACAATACTTATAATCCAAGTTAAGCAAAATGTTATCCTTACCCCCAAAAAAGTTCTAGTCTTTTCATTGGTAGACAAGCATCAAAAAAAAATTCCCTCCATTATTATATTTTTAATTTCATCAGTAAAAACGTTTTGTAAGTTTGTTTTCTCTCTATATATATATTTTTTAAAGGTTTTATTTATTTATTCATGAGAGACACAGAAAGAGAGAGAGAGAGAGAGGTGGAGACATGGGCAAAGAAAGAAGCAGGCTCCATGCAGGGATTTTATTTATTTATTTATGAGAGACACAGAAAGAGAGAGAGAGAGAGAGAAGTGGAGACATGGGCAGAGAGAGAAGCAGGCTCCATGCTGGGAGCCTGTTGTGGGACTTGATCCCAGGTCTCCAGGATCACGCCCTGGGCCTAAGGCAGGCGCTAAACCGCTGAGCCACCTGGGCTGCCCCATTTTCTCTCTTATTATATATATGCCAACATATATACATAATATTACTACATAATCTGGTAGTGCCCCACTGTCCACACACAAAAGACATTTACCAACTTCTGTTACAAAAGAAAAATTGTGAGAAACCATCTTTTCTTTTTTTCAAGCAAAAAAGTCTTTATTCTTTTGACTTTTCTCCAATGGGATCTATTTTTCAAGTCAACGTCTTCCGCCCTTACCATTCATTTTTGTACCCTGTCATACCCTGCCCACCAGCATCCACCATGCCATGAGCACATTCCTAATGGAACAAAAGAATGGATGTTCTTAAAAATTAGGGGACACAAAGTTGGCAATTTTATTTTCTAGGAGGACATATTCCAAACACTGTGTGCTTTCTAATCAACAGTGTTCTCTTTAGCTTCTAGGTTTCCTGAGAACGTACCAAAAAATAAATACCCTATATGTCATCTATAAGTGAATGGAAATATCTCAGCCTTTGTTTTAAATAAATAACTATTTTCTGCCAGAATACTATTTCCTCGGTCCATACTGACATGGTTAATAATCCAGATACCCTGTAATGTCAGCAGATCTTTTTTTCAGAAATTACTTTGGAGTCAATGGAATGCAGCCTTAAGTTCATGAACAATAAAAGGGAGCAAGAGAAATAAATCAGAAATCCCAAATCTCTCCTGTTTAATAAAGGGAATGAAAGTAAGAAGGCACCTTCCTTTTGCTCTTCTGGTCACAGCCTGA